CTGTGGACTAAAACAGTGGTCAACAAATTACTTTCGTAAAGTGATAGGTGACAAGTACTTTCAGCTATTTGAGGCATAAAGATCTGTATTGTATGAACCTTTGTAGTATGAAAGCCATTGTAGACTCTATGTAAACAGTGAGCATAGTTTTGTTCCAGTCATGCTGTTCATGAATAGGGAGAACAGATGAGCAGCATATGAGAGCTGTGCTGAACAAGATTGTAAACTTGGGGGATGGGCAGGACTTTTTTTTTCCATTTGTTTCTGTACTTGTTTTGCTGTTATCCTGTTTCCTAGAGTAGTGTCTTACATTTATATGATAAATTTTTAGTACTTGTGTTGAGTAAATAAGGTTAGAATTCACCAGTGCTCCAGACTGAAACTCTTGCATTTGTGGTTTATTACTGTCATCTGTAATACTAGGTTGTAAGACTGTGAAAGCAACCCATTAATTCTTTGTTTTAACACATTCATGCTAAGTTTCTCTTTGAATCATTCTGGAATGTTTAGTGTGGTGACAAAATGGTGATTAAAGTATCTGTGTCCTAATTTCTTTTCTGACACACACTAGGTAATCATACCGCACTAAGGTTGACTAGAAGTTGGATGAAAGGAAATATAAAATTCATTCCTCCCAGTGAGCCTGGACCCATTTTCTTTGAAAGAGTTTATGTAGATAACTCCAGCTAAAATTGAAAGAGTTTCTATGATGAGGAGTAAGGACTGGCATAAATGACCTATTTGTAAGCTTGATGCACAGCTTTAGTAACACTATAGGTTTTCTGTTTTTTTTTTTTTTTTTTTTTTTTTTTTTTTTTTTTTTTTTTTTGTTTTTTGTTTTTTGGCAGAACCACGGATTGAACTCAGGCTCTTGTGCTTGCCAGGGAAGTGCTTATTCTAGTGAGCCATCTTTCCAGTAAATATAGGTGTTCTTAAAAGATTAACAAGACTAAAGCATTTCTAAGACACCTACTTTTGCTAACCCAGACCCTTTTCCCTATATCATACTTCTTATGGAAAAAGCCCTAATCTTCTACCCTGAGCAAGTGATTCCTACCTTGGAAGATTACCTGTTGTCCCAATTGTCATTATATAAGATGAATAAACTCATTTCTTTTCTATTTTTTTTCTTCTCACTTTTTTCATTTTTTTATTAGAACACATTTGCAATACAAAATGATTGCATTCCTCATGGGGAGTTGGTGCCTGTTCACACCACATCTTAATTCTTTTTTCATCCCCATTCTCTTCTCTCCCTCCTTTCCTCCATCTCTTGGTCACCTTCCATTTCCAAAAGATCTTTCCGTAATTCCTATTATCTATGTTTTATTTTATTCTTTATTTATACTTTGAGTTTCTCAGTAAGAGAAACCATGTCCTCGTTTTTTCAGTGTGTCTCATTTCTTTCACTTCATATTACAATCTCAGGTTGCCCATTTTTCCTAAAAATGACTCATTTACGGCAAAGTAGTACTCCATTGTGAATAAACATAACATTTTCTTTATTCATCTGTTAATGTGAATATTGATGATACAGATATACCATCTGAAATGGCACATTTTCTTTGGCTAAGTATTTTTAAAACCTGGAAAAGTTTACCGGCAATGACACTTTAGTGAATACCAACTTTATTTTTGGCCATTTTGGAAGCAGTTACTATTAATAAGCAGGTAGCTACTAATAAGGAAGATGCATCAAGAGCTACAAATAATTAGACCTTGAAAGTTTACTCAGTATATCTTTGCACTGGTGGGAAGGGACGTACCATCCCAAAATAAGAGCGTTTTCTGTTCTACAGCTTGTTCTAGGTTTACTGAATGTCATTTCTATTCAGTATTTCAGTAAGTGGTACCTCAGTTATTCAACAAAGCAAAATATGTTTCTTCTTTTCCCCAGAACTGTTGTATAATGGTTTTGTGATGTATCTGGGTCAACAGACAAAACGTGCTGATCCCAGCACAGACAAATGTCCTTTTAGATTATGCCTTATAGTATAATTACGTTGGAAATTTTATCATTTATGACAATTGTATAATTATAGGGTTGACCTTATTGATTAAATATTATCTGAGATCAAAATAGCTTTCCAGTTCACCTTCCTCTTGGAATATATACTGTTTTCTCTGTGTAATATATATTGATCTATTTATACAGTATAATGAAAGACTGGCCATACACACCAGGGCTCAGAAAGACTGTTAGGTCTACTTTTCCTTATGCTTGTCTACTTGTAATGGACTAGTCTTAATTTTGCTTTCTCCAATTTGTTCTATTCAGTCCACCCATCTGTGACCTATGGCATCATATATCAAAATTTGCCTTCTTCTTGAGTTTTAGCACAGTCAGCTCTGACTGTAATTTCTTTCATTTATCTACTCTATCAGAATATTAATTACCCTCACACATGCACAGTTTGAAACATAGTCTTATCTGCGCCGTGCCTACATATTATTATTTTTTATTTTTAGCTGTTTCTTTCTGGAAGGCAGCTATGCTCACCACTATACCACCAATGCCACTCAGCTATTTTTTTCTGTATTTAGGACAGAGCCTACAGGATCTGCAGTGTCTCACTATGTAGATTGGACTCGTAATGTTTCACCTTTTTTCAGCCTCCCAAGTGCTGGGATTACAGGTTCTCTCCACCACGCCCAGTCTCCATATCATCTCAGCATGCCCTGAGGGTGGGGCCTGCACAGCATGCTGGGGATTGAACCTGGGCTGCTGTGCTCTCCCAAGCAGGAACTTTAGTCCATTGAGCTATCAGGCCAGCCTACCGTGCCTTTACATTCTTAAAATGTCTTGGGATTCCCTACTGAAGAGTGCCTCCCACTTGTAAACTAAATACTTTCTAGTCCTCTTATGGGACACTTAATAAGGAAGGAAATAATTCATCTGGAATGTGATTTCCTTTTCCAATTGGGAAGAGTTTTTGAATGTTAGGAACTAGTGAAATTTTCTTATCCTCTGGAATAATTTACTCTCACCTGTAGATTTCTACTTACAATGTGTTTTTGGAGGGATCTGATTAGGTTTTAGTAGTAAGAACACTATCATCTATATTCTGTGACTCATTGAGTAGTTGTATAGTACCTGACAAAGTAGCAAGTAAGGAGATATTTTAAAGACATCATCATTGCCCAGAAGCTCTTTTGTACTTGACACAGTGTTAAAAAGCCTAAGGGCTGGCCAGATAGCTTGGTGGAGTAAAGCACCTGCAAGCTGGCCCAGCGGCTGGGGATTTGATCCCTCCACCTGCTGTGTGGGCCCTGCTCCCAGGGGGTGCTGAGACAGCAATTGAGACTGAGTCTAGTGACGCCCATCTGTAATCCCAGCTCCTAGGAGGCTGAAAGCAGGAGAATCCCTATAAATCCAGTCTACATAGTGAGACACTGAGAATCCTGTAGACGTTTCAAAAAAAAGAATAGAGGGGACCTGAACCATTTGGTATAGTTCTTGAGTCACAATTGATATCCTCTGAATATTAGTTCTCTCTCTCTCTCTCTCTCTCTCTCTCTCTCTCTCTCTCTCTGTCCTCCCTTTCCCTCCCCTCTTTTCTCTTCCTCTCCTTTTTCCTCCCCTTCCCTCTCTTCTTTTTCCCTCCCCTTTTCCCCCTCCCTTCCTTTCCCCTCTCCTCCCCTGCCTCCGTATCCCTCCTCTCTCTTTTTATTTTGATGCCAGGAATCAAACTCAGGACTTTGTGCTTGACAGGTATAGTCTTCTATTAATAACCATTATTTTTCTTTAAAAGTTGATTCTTGTTTTTGTCTAAAATTTCAACAACCTTCATTAAGTATATTCAGTTCAGATGTGAGTTGATAAAACTTCATTTAAGGTGGAACAATAAATCAGTATGTTTTGTACTTACAGTGGGAT